TGAGCGAAGCCTGATTTGGTATTTGAGCACGCAGAGAGACACCCACAGCGGGCTCACGGTGGGGCCCACCAGGACACGCGTTTTCCCCTCCCTACACTTCGCTAAATATAAAATCTGCTATCGAAATCAGAGACGCCCGACCACGGCGGGGGGTTGGGACGAGCGCAGCCAGCTTCCCAGAGAAGAGCGGGACCGAGGGTGACACTCGGTGCACTTCGCTCGCGCCGCGTGCTGTGGGAGCTGACGGCTCGTGACCGCGGGACGGCGCCTCCCAGCCCCCTCACAACGCCCACCGAAAGGCAGGGCGCTGCCCAGTCCCGGCAGTCCGGACATGAAACGCACAAATTTGTGACCTCTGCTTGACGTGGTGCCTGGGGTTACCGGAAAGCACGGCCATGGAGCTGGTTTAGCCATTTAAATCCTTGAACGCTATGGTTAGTACAGTTGCCTTTTTCGTATTCACCAGTAGCAAATGGAGACGCTACCTCCCCTACAGCACGGTCACTGCCACCCACCCCTGGCGAGGAGGGGAGATGCGAATCAGAAACACCAGCCCGTATTGCACAACCCAGGAACGCCTTCTGGAGACAGCCCGGCCACGCGGGAAAGGCAACTGCTTGGAAGGCTGCTACACGGTTAACACCTTCCAATGCCCAAAAAAATCAAACGAAAATTTAGAGCGTCAAAGCGAGCCCCCGCAGGGGCTCCCGCTTCGGGGCTCCGCCACCGGTCAGGACAAACGTTTGGTGTCTTGATTCTCCAGTTCTTCTCTTTGTCCAGAGAAGACCAACAGGCTACGGCTTTGCCGGGGGTGGGGGGGGGCGCTCCCCCACCTAGAGCAGAGCTCAGCAAACACGCTGGATAGCGGGCTGGGGTTAATGAAACTGCAGTACAAGTCAAACACTATCTCCTAAAAGATTGAAAAAATATTTTTAAACAAAATAATGTGACATATTTACATAATTCCTTAAGTGCAAACTCTTGTCACAATTCACGTGGTTGAGCTCAATTCAGACTCACTGTACAAGAAGGTGCTCTTTCGTTAATGAAAGAAGGACTCTACTCTGTATTCCTGATTCAGTAACGTGTCTCTTGTGCAAGGCAGTAGATTTCCTGTTTCTTCCCAATGTACTTCCGAAAGCAAAACCGGAATCAAGCCATCCTCTTCCCCGCTCCCCGGCCCGGTTACCGCACCACGAGGCAGGAGACGCAGAGCTTCGAGGGGCCAATGCAATCGTCGTGGCAGAAGGCACCGCAGCCCTTGCACATGATCATGGCTTTCAACCTGCAGTAACACTTGGAAGGGGAATCCTCCATGCCGCTGTCTTCAGCGAAGGCTTGAACGGGGATGGTCTGAGCGTGGGCGCCAGGGTTCATAGCTGGGCTGGTGGGAATGGTGGTTACAGTCACGGAAAAGGACATGACGTTCCCCATGCTACTGGACAACTGATTGCATTCGGACAGCCCGGTCATGAGAGCCCCTTGGTTGACGTCTGGGGAGGTGGAGACGTTTATTGTGCCGCTGTAACTGGGCCCAATGAGCTGCGCTGCAGCGCCTCCGGAGAGCTTCGGAGGGCGCGAAGGAGAAAGCAGCGGAGGCTGCTGCTGCGCAGAGTCCAAGGACGGGACAGAAGCGCTGAAGAGCTCCGGACTGCCGTGCATTTTCCCCCTCATCGCATGTGCCATTTGCTCTTGAGCGGCTTGAATAAAATCTTGTGCTAACGTCGATCCGTCAAATGCCTGAACGTTCTCCTTGCCGACCGCTGCCTGCTGAGCGGCGGCTGCTTCTGCCTTTACACCCTTTGTAGCAAGGGTGCTGCAATCCGAGGAATTTACGCTGTGCGATGCCTGTTCTTTTTCACACTGACCAGGAACCTGGGCAGCCTGGGGCTCCTCTTTTACACCAGTATGGTCGCGTTCATCACCGGTGCTCTCATCATCTGCATCCCCTTCATCGCTGCTGCTGCCGTGGCCAGCTAGCTCCTCACATTCCCCAAATTCTGGTTTTGGAGCATCAGCAGGGCTGTTCAGACACAAGCGGCTTTCGGGGTTCAAGGAGAAGCCTCTCCTCAAACTCTCTGAACCGCGACCATAGGTGGAAATGTTGAGCAGGTAATGACCAGACATAGCAGGCTTGGAGGTCCTTCTGCCCATGAAACCCAGCATAAATCTCTGGCTGGTGGAGCTGTTTTCTAACTGGAAACCTGAGTGAGTGAGGTTCAGTTGTGAAGGCTGAAGGACTGGCAACAAATTCTGCCTCTGGACCCTCTTGATAAGAGTCTGGAGGATCTGCTCTTGGGTGGTTTTGCTGAGCGCCTCGTGGCACTGGTGCTGGTCAAGACTGGGGTCCTTTCCCGAGGGGAGCGGAAAGGTCCTTGGAATGTGAGGCAGAGGCCTGTTCTGGCAAAAGATCTTCCCGAGCTGTTGTGTGGGTAAACTCGATTGTCTTTCGCCACCCTCGGCTCCAGTGCCGTTCCCTGCTACGCCTGTAGCACCGGCGGCTGCTCCTGCCCCTTTTTCCTCAGGAGAAGCTAACAGGACAGTTTTCATCTCTGCTTTGGTGAGCGGCTTCGGCAGGATTTGCTCCAGAGGGACGTTCTTGCCTTGAAGAAGCTGGGTGACCAAAGGGTTGTTAGCAGGAATACTGGAGCTTGGCTTTGGGAGGGCCCCGCTTAAGCTTGAACTTGCATGAGTTTTAAGGCAAGGCGCTACTGACAGAGCGTTAGAGGGCGGGACAGACGTGGCAGATGTGACCAGACCCCCAGCCCGGGCTTCTGGGCTCGTGGATGTTAGCGAAGACATCAGAGGGGAAGGAGATTTGCTTTTAGAAGCATCTAAGCTGGTCCCTCCTAAGGCCGTAGGTGCTACATCAGTCACGCTTGCGCCGGCATCTGCTGCGGACACCGTGACGCAGACTGTTCCATCCCTGACAGCTGAGGCCCCGCAGGCCTGGCCTGGCCCTGCCGGAGCAGAAGGTGCTTTCTCGTGCCTGTGACCGCTACCAGCATACGGGGAGCCTGAAACCTGATTTACCACCGTGCTGGGGGGGCTCTGTTTTATTCTGTTGATTTTCTCTAATGCCGATCCCGCGGAGGCGGAGGCGCCGGTGCCTGTATTGCTGGCTGGAGTTCTGGGTCGCAGTGTGGAAGTTTGCTGTAGTTGTGCTCCAGAAGGACTGTGAGGTGGTGCCGGGTCCGCGGCCTGGGTCTCCATTTGGGTACGGGTCCCTGGACAACGGGGAAGAAACCTTCTCGAACTTCCCCCGCTTCCAGTTCCTGCCAGTTCCAGTGCGTTTCCTCGAATTCCAGTTTCGCTGGTTCCGCTCGCTGCTGCGTTACTCTTCTCTCCTCCACCGCCCGGTGGGCCCCCGCCACCGCCCGGTCCAAAAAAAGCCCTCTGAGCCTTGGCTTGCTGGGCTTTTGCCTTGATGTCTGCCAAAGTTCTGGCCCCTGTTCTTCCTGGACTGGTAAGCGAGATTGGGAAACGTGCCCTGGGAGAGACCTGGCCCGCAGGAAATGGCATCGGGGAGATTCTGGAAACAGGAATCTGAAACGGAGGAGGAGAAGAGCACAACTGAGCCACAGGGAATGGTCAACCCATGTATTTAAGAACTTGTTTACAGTTGGAGTCTTGGAGAAATAGCTGTCATTTTGGAGAAACCCCTTAGCTCCCTCACTCGAGGTAAATAACGAAAGACGTGTGTGACCCCTCCACGTCTGGCACGCCTCTCGTAAGCCTACGGCAGCCTTCGTGACTCAGGTGGGAAGCTCGTCCCTTGCCGCTGCAGGCTCATAGGTCGTACACCGTTACTCAAAAGCCTATCAAGCTCCCTCAGAAAAAACTGTAAGGTTCTTCCAGAACTCAACACTTACCACCCCCTATCCCCAGTCTCGCACTGAATTGCTAAGCAGTTTATATCCTTTTAACGGTTTGGGCCAATGTCCCGCTTGATTTCACGTTGCTTCCCTACCCCTGCGCACTTACACTGGTCTCCTCAGTGCTTTACAGAATCACAGAATCGCAAGGGTTGGAAGGGACCTCGGGAGATCATCTAGTCCAACCCCCCTGCTAGAGCAGGCTCTCCTAGAGCAATCTACACAGGACTTCATCCAGGCGGGCTTTGAATATCTCCAGAGAAGGAGACTCCACAACCCCCCTGGGCAGCCTGTTCCAGTGCTCTGTCACCCTTAGAGTAAAGAAGTTTTTCCTCATATTCA